CCACATCTTCCTTTTCTTTTTGGAGAGGATGTTCAGTAATCTTGAAATGTTATTAAAATTCTTGAAACACTTAATTTGCTCATACCAACCGCCGTAACGATATCTCTCACAGTCATAGAAGTTGGTTTATTAAGAACGATTGTTTCAGAACGCTTCCTCGCGAAGCAATATCCATCTTTTAACAACCAGCACGTGTTACACGGAACGCAAAAAAATAATCACCAGCTACTATATTGAAATAATCAAAACTGAGCTCTTAATACACTAAAACCAGCCAAAAGAGTAAAATTACGGTAAAAGACAATCCGCCATACTGCCTTATAGGCTAGTGATGCTCAACCTGCGACCCACCAAGTCTTTTTAAGTGACCCGGTCATGGTCCATTGCTCTGACAGGCTAGTTCTCTAGACCTCCCCTCTGATTTGTTCCAATGCTTCAGTGCAGCCAATTGAGTGCCTACTCTCGCAGTGCCATTGACCAACCACAGCAAAGCCTTATACACACAACTTTTGGACATTCCCACCGAAACCGTATTGAAGAAAACCCTCGATCTCAAAACCACGCCTACTTGCCACGTTCGAACCACCAATAAGGACACTCTCTCTCAGGCAGGCCCACCCACACAAGGACTCAGCAACAATCTCGATATGGGATGGAGGAACGCTTCGCGTTCCATTTCCCAGTGACATCCAGCGTCATCATCCATTGCTCTGAGAAATTTACTTATTTAAGAACTTTGTATTAAAAATTTGGTAGGAAATTATTCGTCAAGAAATCAAATATATCAAGTTTGCTTTTTGCTGTCGGTGTCGTATGGGTACGGATTGATATTTTGTTTTTATTTAGAACGGTTACGGTTATTGATAGCAGACAACAGTGGAGTAGCGACAGTTTTATGGAAGGAACTAATTGCGGGAGGATCTAATTTTTGACTATCTTTCATATCTTGCAAGGGAAAAATATTCAAAAAAAAAACTTTTAAGACGATTGGGAGGCTGACTATTTTGTTGTACAAAAAAAAACATGGATCAGCAATTGCTTGATTTGTCATGAAAATGCTCTACTTAAAAATTACCAAAAACAGGAATCATTCAATGACACTTTTCCTCAAAGATCTCTTTCAAGAGGTGATGAATAGGTTTTCTTGAATAATCTTTGCAACAGCAACAAAGTGTTTTGTCAGTGGTAATATCACAGTGGTAACAAAGACAGCCGATGAATTTTGTTATATTATTGGTAATCATATGATATCGTTTACTGGTGCAGAAATTGCGGAGGATTATTTCTTAAATACTTCTAATTTAGTGTTGGTGACAAAAATAAAAAATATAAAAAATAATAATTAAAAAAACAGGAGCTATAATATTTTGATCAATTTTCCACATTTTAAATTTCCAATGTTTTCTTGATCTTAAAGCATTTCCCCCTCCCTTATTTATCCTCATATTGCGGCCCGTGCTAAATAATTAACTTAAGTATGCGGCCCGCGTAAAATAGGTGGCATATGTATGCGACCCAGCAGAAAATAAAGATTGAGTACCCCTGCTCTAAGCAGTTATTAACGATTTGAGGCTCTTCGGGACATCGCTGGCCAATCACATACCAACTCAGACAAGAAAAATATGCTTGTCCCAATTAATTCGAACAGTAGTAAGTATAATTTAAATGATTGGTTAAAATATTTAATCTTGTTGGTTACATAAATATAAAGTTAATAATGCTGTATACTTATTGTAATAGATGGGACAATAACAAAAGTATTAACTGAGTGTTGTTATATAGTTCTTACTAAAGTAAACAGCAAAACTTTTACGTTTTAAAATTAATTGTTTAATGATAAAGCTTAAGATTACCATTAATTTTTTTATCTCACACTAAATAAAAAATAAGTTTTTCCCCGATATGAATATTATCACATGAAAATTAAATATGTAGTTGAACATAGCTTTATATTTCTTTCATTTGAACGACTGTACTCAAAATGTCTAAGTATCATTTACAATAGATAGGTGATTGTCTTCAACTAAATTTCCTATACATGTATTATCAAACATGTTTAAACGGCTTTCAGTAGTAATGTCTGTCATTTGAGTAGTGAATAAATTGAAGAATCGTCTCTATCTGGGTAATCATCCAGCAACTTTTAATATCCATTCAGTTAAAAGATTTTAAACAAAAACGAATTTCAAGTTTCCTCCCCCACTGAGAGGCAGTACTTTGAATTCCCATTTCAATATTACACCTTAAACGAAACATTTTGAAATCTTTATAGGTTTTCAATACATTCTGCCCGTATTTTTAATGCATATTTTTGAGCATCAAGGTATTTTTTAATCGCCACCTCTAAGAACCCGATTGCTTTTTAAAGATTTGATTTGTTTTAAATGCGCAATCCTTGATTATGTAAGGGCGGAATTGATTCTATCAATTCAATCTCATACTCATATATATATATATATATATATATATATATATATATATATATATATATATATATATATATATATATATATATATATATATATATATATATATATATATATAATTCAGTCCAAAGAATTATTCTTAATGTCTTGATATATCTAAAACAATTGTGGATTAAACTCCAAAAAAAAAAGAAAATTGGGAAGTGAAATAAATAAATCTTGCTGAGTAACCCGTTATTTCCCAGTTTTATCGTTAGTCTATATGTATAAATATTACCTAAGTTAAATATATAAAAATCTTTTCCCCCTCTGTTCATGACGATGTCCGCAAAACACGTTCGTAGTGGATCTCTACTCAAGAACACAAAAAAAAAACTTGGGTGTCAAATTTCAAGTAAGCAAGTTTAATAGTTTCTTTTTTTAAATTTCCAATGGCCAGGGTTACAAAAGACCACTACACCACAAGAGGGTAGAAACAAAAACAGACAAAATAAACAGAGTAGGAAAAAACATGGCGAGAGAAGTCTATGAACCCAATAAGTCCCTAGCTTGCCAATAAATATCGCACAAAGAGGAGCCCTTCAGTGCTGAGCAGTGGCAAATGGGGTCAGCATCCATGTCCTTCCAAATATTGCAGAGCGTGCAGAAAGGAGCCTGTGCAACATGAATTCTATGAAGATGTTTGAGGAGCCAGTCGTATCCAGTGGTCAGATGAAACTGAGCGACTGCTTTACGTCTTGACCACATGGGAAGATCTTTAAGAGTATTCCACCAGATATTTTTGGAGTTTTTCTCAGCGTATTGAATTGAAGAGATGCAACCTTAATCGGGGATGCAACGTATACCTACCTCCTCGTGATGCGCCCTGGTAGTGGCCTTATAGCTAAATGATTTACAATTTTTGCTAGTTCTTATAATGCCTTCTAGAGAAGCAGGTTTAATAGTTCAAAACAGGATTTTTTTATTTATAACTCATACTTCCCACCTCCATGGGACAATTTTCTCACAATCTGATCTTTATAGATCTTTCCTCAAAAATGGAACATGCTTGTGAAATTCGAATCCCTCGCGACGCGGGATTTCGCTATTGCAACTGAGCAACGAACTACAACTAAAATTGTTTCAAACGTAAACAAGTCAAAAAACTCTTTGTAACTCCAAATGTCAACGAAACCTTTCCTGCCAAACGAATTATTATTATTATTTGAAGAATTTAATAACGTTGTAATTTTAATGTAATTTGTTTTTGCAATTTTCGTTAGATTGAGATGATTCTGTGAGTCTTTTAATTTCTTATAGTAGATAATAAACGTATGTCTTATAAATGATAGTTATAATAAAATCCTTTTCTTCAGTAATCCTATTTACCTTAAAATCCGGAGTATAACGCGCAGTTTTAACACACAAAATAAGATCGAAATTTACGGGTGCGCGTTATACGCCGGGTTTAAAAATTATAGCTTCAAAAAAAAATTGAGCCTTAAAAAAACTAGACTTTCACATAGATTGAAACACTGTTTATTTAAAAGAAACGATATGCCTAAAGAATTTAAAGGCTTGTAATTGTAGAGAATACTATTTTTTGAAAAAAAAAAAAAAACTTGGTATATTACCTCCATTAAATAACTTCATAAACATAATAGAATTGCATACGTACATTTCAGCTTCCTTCGTAAAAAAGCGGATGCGCGTGTTATACGCAGTACTTAACGTTAAATAAAGCTATAAATTTATGAGGACCAGTAGTCGAATGGTAGCTTCCTTACCACAGATCCGGGGTTCTATTTTCAAGGGAGGGAAAAGGTCAACTCAGCTTTTCATCTCTTCAATGGGTCAATAAATGAGTACCAAGCTTTTTTGGGGACTAAAACTATGAGTTTCGCTTCAGACACAGACCACCTGCTAAGTCACATGTACTGTGATGGGGACAGCAGGTCATAACCTGTTGCGCCAGTGAGTTTAGTTTAGTGTTAATCTATATCATTTCATGCATCTTATACAGCATATATTTAAAACTACGTTAGAGTTTTATTTTCACATTATTGACCTTAATTTTTAGTAAATAGATTTATACGCATTGTTTTACAGAAACTCAGTTTCCAAAAATGTGATTATAGTTAATACTTAACTTGCAATATATCTTCGTTTTCAGGAATTAATAATTTACAATTTAACATTTCAAATCAGTTCTTATAACAAATCTAAATTTTTGGGAGCTACATGTTTCCAAAAATAGATTGTCGCATCGAAATATTTTCTTAACTTATTTAATCGTTTTTTTTTCTGTCCGTAAAATTTTATAAAGTATTACGTCACTCAACTAAATCCAACATATCATGAAATTTTGTTCAAATTTTCAATCGTTATATCTTGTTCAAATTTTCAATCGTTAATAAATTACTTTTTATGCATTCACTCAAGTTCAAAAACAACTTTTAAAACTTTTAGTGAATGATACTTGATGCTAATACAGTTTTTTCAAATATTCATTAATTATATTTAATTCATGAATAAATAGTAACAAACAAAAATAATAATCCAACACCATACATAAAAAAGAAAATTGCTCTTTGTGTCCCTGTTGCGCAATGGATAGCTCATTGGATTTCTAATCCTAAGATCGTGGGTTGAAATCCTACCTGGGATGTCCTAATTTATAAGAATGTGATTTGTTTTTGCTATACTACTTAATTGGAATAATTACATTTAATTAATGAATAAATAGTAAAAAACAAAAATAATCGTCCAATACCATACATAGAAAGGAAAATGGAAAATTGCATGGAAATTCACTTTCTATTTTGTCACTTAATATTGTGCTTCTGTGTCATATGTATATACATATTTATATTAATCTTAATTATTTAAAAAAAAACTTAAACTCAGTGTTGTAAGAGATCATAAGGACCAAGGCCTGCTGTGCCCATCCCAGTATACGTGACCAGTGGGCACTGAGGTGCTAGAGCAGATGTCGCGATCAGGTGGTGAGTCTGAAGTTTTTAAAATCAAAATTCAATTTAATTATGTTAAATTATCCAAGTGAAAGCACGACGAAGTACGGAACAACGCTTGATGGAGTTTTTTATAGATTTTTAAATAAAATTTTGAGGCTAAAGTATATTTATAGCCTATTTCAGCTACTATAAACCTATTCTTTCCTTCTTAGAATATAATTGATTCCCAAGTATGATTGTATATTTCACACAAAAATATTACTTTATGAGTACAGACATAAGAATAAATAATAATTTTATAGGACAATGCTAATATCCCCTTGTTTTTTATTCACCTAAGTAATCCCTGAAGTAAATTTACAAAATTTAAATTTATCACTTCTATCGCGTGGTCATAAGCGTACACACTTTTTTTATATTCCTTGTTCTAACAAAACATTGCAATATATTGTATAGAAAATGCGTATTGTAAAGTAAAAACATGTTTTTATTATCGTGGAGAGCCAAAAAATACGCATAATTAGTTTAGTTCTAATACAAGAATACGTGGCATTCTATCATCTCTTTCGTCGGAGCCTTTATAATTAATTTAAACACTCAATGCAATAAATTGCCAGCACGCTTTAATTTCTTGCTCCCCATTGCATTAGAAGTTAAGAGCTTTCAATTTTGAATGGAGTGCACGAAACCAACTCGTTCTAAAATGCTTCCAAGAAAGACATTAACATCTTCTGCATTCTTTAACAATCGAGCGTTCTTCCCTGATGACCCAAAGACCGATTTCCTCCATCGAGGTTAAGCCAACAACACTCATTAACGATCCTGCTAAGGTAGCCGACTTCACATCGACACATCCCTGAATAAACAGATTGAGAGGAGGGGGAGGGTTCTGACCCTCCCTCCAGCTTCCACGTGCAAATTACTGTCTCCATAGTCTAATCCACTCCGGTGAGAGAGAGAGAGTTGTGCTTCTGGAATTCTCTCTAGTCCGGCACGATATCCGGAATGTTCATTTGCATTTCATTTTCGGTCAACCCTTCTGCCCCCCTTCCCTTTAAACCTCCTCTTTTAATCTGCTCACTCCCCTCTCCGGGTGTCCCTGGAGATGAGTTAACTAACAATCCTCTCCTGCTTTCGCCTTTGAAAGGTTGCCCAGTGTTTTCTCCAGGGTAGAACGGATTATAATTCGGACATATTTAATTTTACATATTAAATGATATTGTAACAGATTTAAATTTATAATGATAATACCCCTTATTGGAAATTCTAACGAAGAGCGTAATTTCGTTAAAAATGTAATTTAAATTATTACATTATGATGATATTAATCAACTCATATTTTCATTATTAGTCATAAATTAATAGGGATAGGGATGAAAACATTTTGTACACACAACCTATGACAATAAAGTTTGGTGAAAGAAGTCAGAACGGCCGATTTGGCAACGCTGGCGAAACAAAACGCTGTACATACGTAATTGCAGGTGTTGACGATCTGCTCCCACTGTTGGTCAGTTGAGCGTCGTTTCTGTTCCGTGTAGAATTTTTTTTAAAAAAAAGTGTGTTTGTGCTTTGCTAAACTGAAAACAAAAAAATGAAAGAAAAAAGATTAATTAAAATTTTTGTTTTAAGCTTGGCAAGACACCGAAAGAAACTTTTGTGATGCTGGTACGCGTTTATGAAGATCAAGCACTGTCCATGAAGTGCGGGTACAAGTGGTTGGCTCGTTTTGAAGGAGGCCGAGAAAGTGTCTCTGACACCCTTGCGGAAAGCTGGCGATCTCCTGAACAAACCATGCATCAAAACGATTCTCATCATCTTTCTTGATTGTCAAGGCATAATAAACAAGGAATTTTTACCTGAGGAAAGGATAATGAATGATTCAAGATACATTGAAATTTCGATCCGTTTCATAAATCGTCAACGCAGGATACAACAGTACATACAACAAAGTTCATGGTTTTTTTTATTCACGACAATGCTCGCCCTCAAGCAGCCACTATCATCAAAAAGTTCCTGGCAAAAAAAGGGGATGGGGCAAATTGAACATCCATCATACTTGCCAGATCGTTATCCTCCAGACTTCTTCCTATTCCTACGACTCAAACTTGTATAAAAGGTAAGAGTTTTGACAATATTCCAGGCATCCAACGAAACGCGACAAGGTTTTTGAGCTCCATCCCAAAAGAATTCTTACAAAGTTTCCAGGACATGTATATCGGATCTCAGTGGTGCATAGTTATAGGAGGTGACTATTTCGAATGACTTTAAGGCAACATTTTATTTAATATTTCATCTACGTTAATATTACAGGATAAGTGAGTGAATATTAACGTCACACTGTTCAGCTGCACGAGTGCTTTTGGCGACGGATCTAATAACCTTGAATCATGGTCAGGTGACGAGGATGACACCTAAGCTGGCACCCCCTATCCTAACTACCACACCACACCAACGGGAGGACGCTTGAGTTCTCGTCTGATTTAACGTGCATCGCCTCCCTACACAGTGGGTCTTAAGTGGTACTAGGCTTGAACTCATGACATGTTTGTCATGATCCGATGCCTTGATCCGAGATTACCGCAGTCCTTAATATTGCAGGACTATTCACCTAACTTTTGTAGTCAGAGGTTGTATTACATAGAGTGAGTGAGGTTAAAATAAAAGTAACACTACAAAGTGACACCAGATTTTGGCGATGGATTTCGTAATTCTTAACCACGGTCAAGTGACGAGGATGACATCTGAGTTGGCACCCCCTCTTCAAAATAACCCACCACATTTTAGAAGGACATGGTAGCTTAGAGGTCAAACTCACGGCTGGCGTGTCGTGAACTCGAGCCTAGTGCGGCTGAAGATTATCCGTGTAGAGTGGCCGCTGCTTGTTAAATCTGTTGAGGATCAATGTCCTCCCGTTGGTGTGGTGTGATAGTTACGATATGGGTTGCTAACTCAGATGTTGTCCTCGTCACTTGGCCGAGGTTCGTTGCCAGTAGTCCTCGTGCTGGTTTATATTGCTACGTCAATACCCCTCACTCACTCACATTGCCATTGGGATGGTTTTGAACTCGACAGATTTAACATGCAACAGCTCTCACTACTGCGGATTTTCAGTGGCACCAGAATTTGAATTCGTCACAAGTTCGTGGTAATATCCACTAGCCTATCCTGACTACTTCTCGAAACAGCAATCGAATAGCGTCATGAAAAAAAAGCAAATAAATAAATAAATAAAATAAAAATATAAAAACACAAAATACAGTCCAATCGCTTATTTTTTGAATAACAGAACCAGCGATTACGAATACTTGCTATCTTACAATTAATGTTAATAATCACCATTCCTTTGTAAAAAGTGAATCACTGCATTAGCATTTATGTAATATACGCTATATTAGTATTTATTCATTATTTAATGAATATAAGATTTTTATTTTATTTTATTTATTTATTTATTTTGAAATCTTTATTTGCAACTAAGTTCATATAAAAATTTTGCAATTAAATATAGATCTCTTAGACATAAAATTAAAAAAAAAAAAAAAAACTAAACATAAAAACGGATAAATGTTTTTGAACTCAAATGTTTAGACAAGTTCACAAACTACTCACATTCCAGAATTTAATCTGATACATGAGCTTTTTTTTAAAATTTTAATATTAACCAAGGGATGGGAGGTATGGTTTCTCTTTTATGGTTAGTTGAGTCTACATGACTGCTTTGTCAAGGCTTCAAAGTGAACACCTGAGGTTCTTAAATTTAATCGGGGAAATAAGCTCTTCAACTAAGTTCAACTTCGATCACCATCTTTCTTCCTTTGGACTCGTAAAGTAGATTTGTATTTGAATCACTTTCTTTTTTTTTATCAGTTTATGATCTCAGAGATCTGGTCTAGTCTATAGTTAACCAGTTAGGCTTAGCAGCAACAACAGCAAAAAGAGTTAGTTTATTACAAAATTTAAACAGATTATTTCAAGAAAAATATGGCAAGAGCAGAAAAAATATATTTATATATATATAAACACTTTTTATTCCAATCAAAAATTCCTTATCATTTGTTAAAAAAAATATCACACTTTTGTTGAAAAAATTATCTTGGGCAATTACCATATTAGATTAAAATCACACACACACACATTAGTTTAACAAATGCATCGCAATACATTTCTCAGATATACATAATGAAAAACACACTATAAATGTATACAGATTATAAACTCTCAATCTTTACACTAATTATAAAAAAATGTATCAATTTTTGATATTCTACATCAAAAGAATTAGAATGTTTTTTTTATAAAATACAACAAAAAAATTTTTTTTTTCTCGTTCAACAAGAATATTTAATCTTTATTTGAAAATTTTCATTTCGGAGTAAATATTAACAAAACTAAATCAAATAATAATTCTCAAATATTATTTACTGTTATAAAAAGAAATAAAAATTCTTTAATAGTTATTAATGATTGAATAATTATTATTTAAGTTGAAAAATTCAGTTTTGAAACTTTATATGTATATCTTATATAAACAAAGATAAACTATCATTAGCAGAGTTAATCGTACTCTTATATATATATATATAACTATGTAACATTCCTTTATATAAATTTATGAAATAATGAAGTTAACTTAGTGCATGGCAGAATTCAACTCCTTTTATGTTATTAAAGTCATTAACTCTTGAACCAT